GAGTTTCTTTATAGACTTTCCAAAATGGATATTTCGGGGCTTCCCATTCGGTAAGAATTTAGAAAGCTACATACGAAATAATATCCGTAGGATCGAGAAAGTGTAACCAGGTTTATGATCAGCGGGTCTTCTCTGGTTATTAAATTAACGACAAATGGTTGACAGAAAGCTTATCTCTCGATTACCAGATCTTTATAGCTTACTCGGTTGTTAGATCAGAAAGCAAGAACAGATTCATCCATTTGTCTAGTTACTGTATCGCCGTATATGCACATCTCACAAATGTATCCAATAAACAGTGAAATAATAATGCAAACTTCATGCAAACATGCTGTATGCAACTTCAAACGATAAATATGACAGTCAAAACAAACACAAACACATTAGGAAAAAATAAATATTCTTCTGGGTTAAACTGACAATCGCATCATCAACGTAAAGAGGAAGCATTCCAATCAATACATTTATGAAACATGCAAGCATAAATAAATACAAGCAAGATGTAAGTCTTTCTGCGTTGAAGTTATCGATCAACTAGTCTACTGTAGAAGCTGGAATATACATGTATAATGGGTAATTTACAACAGACGTACGTCGTCGTACACGGTGTTCTTTAGTGATTGCATTTTTAGTCATTTGATGTTTTAGATTTTCTAATTCAATTTTATCTAAATAAATTTTTGATAGAATAATAAAACCAACGAAATATAAACAAACAAACAGGATATACTTTTCATTATCATATAAATAATATATACACAGTTAGGAGGTTATAATCTAGAACAGTCATTGTTGAAGTGAAAGATCCATATGCAAATATGAAGAGAACACAATCTAGAAGAATCAAAGTAACTATTATTGAAAAAGGAAAGTTATTGCATTACAGATATTTACAACAACTCACATAGATGAACTATAGATAGACAGTAGTCAGTGACAAGTAATTGTTGAAACCACTCATTATTGGAAATATTGAGATGTATATAGGGTGATAATAAAGTTTACATTGAATATACAATCACCAGTTGTAGATGAATAGTAATATCTTATTATGTAGTAGTTGTATTAAGCTTGGACGTAAGTTGAATTTAAACATAATAGGAAATGGTATTTTATAACTAACTAATAATCGTAATCATAGTCATTGCCTACATCGAGCGATCATGGAGATCGGTATATTAAAAGGGAAGAAGGTGAGTGAGATACAGTCATACGAGTCGATGAGGCTATCAGATAGTTAGTCACACTGCTGCTAGGAATAAATACTGCCTGAGGTGATTATGTCTGGTGATTGGAGATTTTAGATGTTTAAGTGTAAAATCTACCACAATGATGTAGCTGCTTTCACTTTCATCTTTAGGTTTCAAAACTATGTGAAAAATTTCATGTTTTATTTACTAATACCATACTACTCACAACGTGGTCTAAAACTAGTATGCAGTGAAGTGTCACCCTAAAGTTACTGCTGAAGCCAACAGTGTCAGATCTGGATGTACAGAGTAATGCGAGTGTTTCGACGACTAAAAGGCACATGGAATGATTGGAATGATCCAATAGTTTTGTGAATGCATGTTTGGAGATATGGTGTACATATTTTGCCTAGTGAATTGTGTGCTATTGAAATAAGTTCACTTATCCCATCTGGTCTCTCTATCTTCGCTCAGTACAATACTGTTGATATTATACTAGTTTATCGGTTAATTTCTTATTGGAAGGTGATGTAAAATGTAACAAGTAAACTCGTTAGGCTGATCCCAAATCGATGTGATCAGGTTTTCATTAAGAGGATAAGAAATTTGAAAATTAAGTGTAACACTATTATATAGTAATACAAAGTAGTACACCATTTCCAAGTCTACACCACGAGATGCAATAAACATGTATTATCTTGAACTGCGTGCATGCAGTATCCCTTTACGAATAACAATGTTGTTGTTTTCGTTTCCATAAACTACCCATTGATGAAGGTCATTTTCTCATTGGTTTAAAACTGAAGAAACCATCTCACTCCATAAAAATTTGTGTATAAATCTGGACATTTTCTAGGCCTCTATAGACTTTTCTGAGGGCTATTTCCGGGCATTCTAACAGCAGCATCTCCCATGGCTACACTCAAGTTAAAAACTATCATGTCAGTTATCTAGATTTTTTTTTACTATGATTGTTTTTTATTCATATTGCGAATTACAACTAATTTATTATCACTACGCACTCACTAACAATCGTGAAAGACAGTCATTTTGACGGTATTAGCTTCTTTTATCAGAAAAGTACAAGAATTGTCATTGGCATATACAAGCCACAAAAGTACCATCAATCGCCCATCCAAACTAAATATAAACATGTTTTTTCCTCATTTCAGAGAACATCGTAAATGAGTGTGAGTTTAGCAGGCAAAAGAACTGCCTTAGCACGCACTAGAACAACCCTCTTCTTAGGTCAGGTACTTGACCAACGTTTACTTATTCTCTGACTGATGACTAACTAGCGTTAATATTATAACTCACGTGAAATAAACACCAATAACGTGGACAACTCGTTTACTCAGAAACTTTAGACTCCTTACTAATAAAATACACGTTGATATCAAGTGAATCATTCGGTTAGTTTATACGACTTTGATAATTTTACTTAACCTAAAAAGTCTAATCAATTATAGGAGTTGAATTTGATTATTTTTAGTTGACACTCCTGATCAATGGACACAAGGTGATAAACCAGTTTATAAAAAAGCCGTTATCACAGGCCCAACATCATGTGTTTAACCGAGTGAAGTGATGAATCCAACTTCTTGCAGGTTTATAATAATAGTTAAATAGTGTCCTGTTTAAATTGACATTCGTTCCTAGGATGTCTACACAGAGTTTATGCTTTTCCAGATTTCGGTTACATTCTGCGAGATACGTTTGGGTGGAATAGAATGTCTGGTAGTGGTAATTATACATTCCGTTTTATAAACGCAGTGGAGCTATTCTCCATACTTGATTGATTTTATTTATCTACTGTTTTTGACTTTAGGATGGTTGGAGAGGCAGGTAAGTAAACACCTGATAAACGGAGAGAGCATCAAAAGATCATACCTCATTAACATGGTATTAAGTAGCCCGCTCACGGTACTTCCTCAGAAATTCTTGTTTCATTTTCTTGCCTTCCTCCCTCGTACCATCTCCGATTCCTATATTGAGGACACGCACAACAATTTAGGTACGATAATTTATGGAATGTAAATGCTACGGATATATGATAGCAAATTAATAAAACATGTACCAACTATAAAATATGACTGAATGTTTATTGAGCGGTAAGCATCATTGATTATCAACACAATAAGGTCAAACTTAAAACTGGCATACTTTTGTCCGCTAAATGGATGGAATCGATATTCCTATGGAAGTCGATTCTAGCAGGAGGACTATGTGATAGCCTAGGTTCAGTAGTAATGAGTTAGCCAAATACATATGTTTCGATCATTATATCTAAAGAAGTTACTTACTTCCTTACTTTGTGGGTGTTATATTTGCTACTATAATATTCTGAAAGGTTTGTTTTGATCATAGCCTTCCGTCCCAATAACTTTGTAAAAGTCCTGTGTACGCAAGTGAAATAGGAAAAGAGCAGTGCATCCAGACGGCTACACGCACCTCACAACAATCTGACCTTGAAGTGTTTGTTTGTCGAATTTGTTATTTCGGTTATCTGTCAGAGAGAGAGGACACATAGTTTGCCTTCTTGTACGTGTTTAATTACATATTCCAATCTGTCAGTGAGAACCTGACGTTTCTCGTTATTAGTGAGAGGTTAATGAGGTCATCCCAGGGTTAAAGAGCATAGGATGGGAATAATAATTTTTGAGACTGTTATGCTAGTCTGTTGATATGCTTGAAACTATTACGAGTTCACCATAATTTGTAAACGAGAGCGAAGACAAATGATCCAATGATACGATAGGCTACTCTTATCCGAGCATTCCAAGGCCCCACTGAGTAGAGGGAGAAGTCTTGACAAGACATAGAAAGTGTATTCTACAAGCACCCAGAAAATACGAGGTCGACAAGCATACAAATCGAGTTTATTTATACATGATGGAAACGTCCTTGGGAGAGCCATAAAAATAGCGCACTGAAATAATGCATCAACCAATGACGGTCAAGGATTTTCTGGCTGGGAAATGTAATCTCAATGTCAACTGATCAACCTATGCACACAAACATAAAATTAGCGACCTCATCAAGTGAGTTCTGGGGATCTAACGTCCCCAACAGAGACAGTATAGACAATGCCGCGTCCTCAACGTAAGCTTTTACAGACTAGTTAGTTATATCTTGGCAATTCCACAATATTGGATTAGGTCTCTTATTCTAGTAGCATAAATAAGTGCACCAATACTGATGACCTACATCTAGATCACACAAAACTGCTGTTTAATGATATTTTTACGCTATGCTAGCACCTTCGGCTTACGTTTAGTTTGTTCTGTTTTTCTGCTAAGACACCCTAATAAAGCAAAATTTAACATCCACGTAAATATCAAGTGGTCGACTTGTGTCATAGAAATACTGAGATGAAATGAGCATTTAATTACACTTTCGTAGTCAACACACAATCATCCTACATGTTTAATCTAATATTCTCTCCGATAGATCTGTGCTGTCTTTCTTCACACCAACTCACTGTTCCTTCTACCGTAATTTATTTGAGGATTTATGAAGGATAGTCGATCTATAGGAACCATTTGGGGGACTGCTGACATTAAGGGTTGAGTGTGGCAGATATGTCGTGTTTACCTGAAAAAAGGACAATTGTCAGTGCTTTCTCCCACCAACTACAGCTACATGTCTTAAATGCATTACTTCCAACTACTCTTATATGTGTTGTACACACCCAACTCCAAGTGTACTACAACACAGTAATAAAAATAGTGTACCATACGATTTCAAGTTTACATAGTTCTTGAAATTAATTGTACAATTTGAGATACTATGCAAAATAAAAACTACATTCATATCAGTTAATTGTCTGAGTAACAACTAAATTGAAATTAAAAACAAAAATCTACAACAAAATTAAACATTACAGTCACGTGACCCAATTTGACCGTAAGTATTTAAGCTGTAAAGTAATAATAATAATAATAATAGAAATAACAAGAATAAAAATGAAAGATATGTGTCTAAATTTGACTGTACAATAATAGATAAGGTGTATTCAATGATTCAGAATAAATATCTTCTAATGTTGTATAATCGGCATTGTCATCATCGAACAATATCCATTGCATACCGACTTTAGCCACACACGTGTAATGACCACAGCTAATTGATACACCACTATGTAATATCATTGCTTGTAGTCGGTAAGTTCTACAAGTGAATTTCGATTTAGCCGAATCATTTGTAGCGTAAGTAGTTGTTTCTGAGTTAGAAGATGACGACGATACTGTAACTGATAAACGTTCTGGTATACGAACTCGATGCATAATTTTTGAACAGGTTTGATCAACTCGTGAATATTTGAACACATTTAAACAAATTAATACATGCGATGAAAGTTGTTGTAATTTTAAAGATCTCGCTTGAAGTGTATATTTACCGCAAGATTCACATTTAGTTGATGAGGCAACATGTTCGATTTGTGTGAAATGTGCTTGTATCAATGTGGACAAATCGGTTCCAGGCTCAATAATTTCTTCTTCGCTTAGATCTTCTGAATCATTATTGGGCTGTAATATATGTGTGACCAATAGAAATCATGAAAAAAATAAATGGAATATTAGTCAAGAATTTTATATATTTTTTTAAAATGGTAGGCATGAATTAAATTTGATATTAAGGTCTTTAGTCAGTCAGACAACTAAACTACAACGTAGAACTTCATACTTACGTACATCAGTTCAGGATGTCATACCACATTAGCATACACAGAGATCGAATTGTCAGTTCAAATCTCAGTAGTAGTAGAGATAGTTAGTAGAGGTGATATTTCGGTCTTAATGAAATCGGCGTGTAAATAATAATCCACAAAACTTGCAACTACCGATGGCTGAGCGTTAGTTATTCAATGTTTGTATTCATACAATCATGCATAATGTAGAATTTGGCACATTTGTGCTGCATAAGTTCAATTTACCATATATCATATTAGCACAGCGATACAAAATTATCAGACCGAATCTTAGAAGAGTAGAAACCGAAACCATTATCAAAAGTGAAATCAAGCACATCCTGCCATACATCAAAGACATATCGGAGCATACGGCGCGACTACTGAAACCATTTGGTGTGGCACACAAACCAACAGAATCACTTCAATCAATCCTATGTAGACCAAAGGACAAAATGACAAAGGAAGAAAAACCAAATATCATCTACAAAATAAATTGCTCAAACTGTGAAAAACACTACATAGGACAAAGTGGACGACCTCTTCAGCTCCGTTTACGTGAACATCAATTAGCAGTCAAACGCCACGACAACGCTTCGCTTATATCAATACACACCGACAATTATGGACACACATTTGGTTGGAACAATGTGGAAATACTGGGTAGGGGGAGGACAAAGAACACTAGGGAATTTTTAGAAGCTTGGCACTCAGGCCAATTAGCAATCAACAAACACATCGATATTAACTCAATTTATCAACTAATCAGGAAAATCATAGGTGACACAGGATCAAGAAACAGATCAAAAGGGGGAGGCAATCAAAACAAAGTTGCAAACAACGACAGGTTAAAGGTCAACAACAACCAATCAAGATCGAGGTTAGCGGAACAAGCTACAGGTCAACGTGGAGAAATTCGAATGCTTCACTTCTATCTGAAGTTTGTGCTGATGATGTTGTTCAGAAGAACAATGAAAGCTCCACAACCAAAACAACCAGCTCAGAGAACGAAACACCACCACAATCATCCACCTGAGCTACAAGTTTTCTCCACCATCTCAAATTCATTAT